ATAGATTGTCTTCAAGAAAAGAAACCAAAATAGAAAACAATAGAAGTACAGCACTATAAAGGGAGCAATCAAAAAGCCCCCCTCCCGACCCGTCATTAAAAAATACTGTATCTGCTTTCTGCCTCCCCACTGATTTTGCTGGTAAAAAAGTTTTAAATCCCTAGCTCTAATYTGATAATTCCCCAAATTGAAGCAATATCATAAAATTGTTTTAAATTAAAATAGGTGGACGATGCCCCTTTGGCCAGGTTCCTGTGTTAGAGCTTGGAGATGGAAAATCTCTTTGTCAATCAGCAGTTATCCTTAAATATGTGGCCAATGAACTTGGTATGTTTTAGTTATTATATTTAATATTGACTATATGCTTTTGGAATTTATAGTCTCATTCCTAGGATAGATAAAAAAATTACACATAGACCAATTGCACTGGAATTTTGAGAATAATCAATTGACTCTACTATCATTCTCTATAGTCAAGAGGATCGTAGTCTCATTTGCAGACTCAACCCTTTGCCAGAGACAGGCGGCAAAGGCCGACTTAAATGATGAATGATTCATTTAATAACCAACATTCCATCATGGGTATCATTCATATGGATTCTAATGATTAGATATATTTTTGGCACCATTTAATTTTATACAGAACACATTTTCATYTATTCATGGATTCATTGCTGCATTATCCATTTTGCTACTATTACCCATTCTATATTTTTTTCCTATATATATTTTTAGCATTTATATTATATTTGATTCTTATCTTCAATCGTTTATAATTTGGTTTTACAGGCTTTAGTCCCAGCGATAGCTATGCTAAAGCACAGGCCGAGATGTTTGTAGATTCTATTAAGGATTTTCAAAATGAATTGCAAAGGCTTGCCCGGGAAAAAGCTGCAGATCCTAAAGTAAGCATTGCATTTAAATTCCCTGGCATGCCAGCTGGGACAATAGTGTATATTTAGAAATTTAGTGCTGTCGGATTGATTGTTTGATTGACTGATTGTTTGAATGATTSATTGATTAATTGATTGATTGATTGGTTGATGGATGGATGGATGGATAATTGGATGGGAGGGAGGGATGGATAGGAGGATCRAGAGATGGATGGATGGATTGATTGATTGATTCGTCCATCCAATAATTGATTACAGGACGAGAAGAAGTCCTCTCTGTATGATGCAGAAATTGCTAAGACTCTKGAAATCATAGACAACCTTCTTCAGCAAAAAAATGGTGGTAAAAGCTATTTAGTA